TATTGTCTCTCAGCTTCACTTCACTCATCCTTACACCATCGTTGTACATCATGCCATGTCCAGAACTCCTCCAAGTCTCCTTGAGCTATTTGTAAGGTTTTTTTATGTCACATATATCTACACCTGTCCCCTGTTCCATCAGTCGCAGCTGCAGGCGCTCCACTCATCAGCTCTTGTTTTGAACACCCTTCAGCTTCACCTCACTCATCAGTCTGCAGTTGTTGTCTTCATGCCATGTCTGATAGTTTGTCGTTTCTTCTCTGGCAACCCTGGTCTGCAGAGTCCAGCAGCAGCGGAGACCCACCTCTGTCGTGCTGGACGACTCCGAAGTTCGTTCTTGAGGGTCTCTCCTCAACTTTGGGAGGAATTGGAATGATGGAGGGTTTGGAGGGACTCTTGTTGCTGGAGGTGTTCTTCTCTGAAACCAAATAGGAGAAATGGAGATGAGACAAGAGAAGCTTCAAAAAGCTCCAGACGTTTCATAAAATTTTGTCTTGTTTCATCAGAATGTCAGCTTTCAAAAGTCAGTGACTCTGCGCTGAAATTTTTCCGGAACATAAAGAGCAGGCAGGCAACATCTCGTTGTTTCAAAAGCCAGAAGACAAAACCAAGAAACGTGATTTGTTTTTTTTAGAACATGGCGGCTTTTTATTTTTCTGACCACGAAGCATTTTGTATATCTCACTGCGGTGCTGAATTACGATTAATCTTATCTTTGTATCTCAACAAAAATAAGAATCTGCTTAAAATAATTTCCAAATCAATATAAATGCTTTTCAGGTGGTGTTTGAATATTTTCCATCAGATAGATTCTTGTAAATAATAGTTGATTCTCTTCTAGTCAACAAATGAAAATAAACCGTTATTCTGTGCCTGAGCCAAAACATACATCTTCTTCCTAAAGAAATCCGAAACAGAAAGTAATTCTGTGGAAATAAAGACTCAATTAAACTGCAGCATTTTTTCTGTCAAACCTGACAGAAAAATACAAAAACGTTGCTCATTTGTCTTTCATCAGACTGTTAACTCACTTTACTGGAACCAGTGAAAATGTGTTCTAACAATCAAAACTTAGGTCAAAAACATGTTTTAAATCACATTAGGTCATGTTTAGAGACTCAATGTTTAATTTCTAGCGATGAATATTGGACGTTAAGGTCACTGTGTTCTGTCATCTGGGCCTGAATAATATTTATGCTCTGAAGTAATAAAACAATACGTGTATGGGCTAATTGTTTAAAATATTAAAAGGTAATTTCAAGGTTGACTTTAATTATTTTTTTTCCAGAAGTCTCTAGAATTAAGTGAACAAAACAACCGTAAAGTAAAACGTGTGTAAACACGTTCTTGTATTTATTTAGTCTAAAATGACTTCAGCTGTGTGTTGTTTTATTTTAAACGTTTTTTGTTATTATAGGTACTATTTATGAAGTACGAAACAAAATATAACATTTTTCTTAAAAAAGATTCATGTTGACAAACAAACTTGATGCGTGTAGTTTACGTACGTGTTTGTTTTCCTTCGGAAACGGTCGAGAGGGAAAATAGCTCAAACGTTAAAATTGCTGTCCAAATGTTTTTACCTACAGAATACAACCAGACTAATGGAGGTCAGTCATGTGACTCAAGTTTCCATGAGGTTTCAAGCTGATTCAGACGAGTGCTTCGTTTACACTGAGCGTGGACCCGCATGTCAGAAATCCATATAAATTTATTGGGGAAACTACCGGAGTAAACGCTTTCAAACTGCACCATCTGCTACAGCTCTGAATTAACCTTTTTATATTTCTTTTTTGTCTTTTCTCTCCAAGAAGGACACGCTGATACAGCTGAAACATTTCCTGCTGAAGCCATCTTCCCCTCTTTTAGCAGGTCCTTTTCTGTAATCCGATGATTTTCAGAAGTGGGTCCCAAACCTGGTTTCGCTGTGAGTCTCTGAAAACCAAGTTTGGATCCTAAGAAGATCCCCAAGCAATTTCTAGCTTTATATTTTTACTTTGATAGTCATAAAGTATATATAAAAAAAAAAAAACAATAGTCATAAATAGAAAAAAATAGTATAGAATTAGTTTAAGCTGTTTATTTAGTCAATATACATTTTATTTTTACTTTTTAGTTATGTTTGTGCAGATCAACCACGGATATTTGGACTGGCAAGTCTTTGCCATATTTCTTTTGGGGTTCAGAAGGTAAAAGGTTTGAGGGAACCACGGATCTAGAGTCTAGGACTGCCACCAGGGATACAAAAGTTCCCACTAAAAGATACAAACTACTGTACATGGGCGCCAACATGTACCAACTGTTGAGGATGTTAAGAGTCCCAGTGACGAGCCTTTGTACCTAGGCCTGTCACGATAACAAATGTTGCTGAGCGATTAATCGTCTCAGAAATCATTGCGATAAACGATAATATTGTTTGAAATTTGACAATAATTAGTAATTATTGTCAAATTTAAGAAAAAATGTTGGTTAATTTGTTTTGTTGCAGCACCTTTTTTGACCACATGATGGCAGTATAAGACTGTTAGAACCGAAGGGTGGATAGTGAGGGAGCGAGCAGCGTGTCTCTTTAAGAAAAATGAGAGGGAGGTCCCTTGACGTGACATGGGCTGTCCCTCTTCGTTTCTCAAAATGGCGGCCGCTCGGTGTGGTTTGTGCTTTTTAGCGTAGCATTTTTCACACAGAGCTTTTAATTTAAAAAAATCGGTAAACAAGTTCTCAACTTCTTTTTGCAGAGAAAAACAACTTTTTACACGAAGGCACGGGTTTCAACCGTGAATCTTAGATCTTCGACAAGACGGAGGTTTTATTCCCCGAGGTCGGCCTGTTAGCTTAGCTCGTAGCTTAGCTTCTCAGCTTAGCTGCTTTTAACGATCCAAAAACGCGATTTTGGACGATTAAAACAGATCTTAAAGAGAAATGAGAAAGGGAGGGGTCCGTGAAGAGCACCGGAGTTGAGCCTTTTGTCATCCAGTGTCTTCAGTAGAAAGAGAGAGACAAGAAGAAACGATAAAGCCGATAAATGAAAATGAGGTCAATAATTTTCATTAATCATGAGATTAATTGATTAATTGTTTATTGCGACAGGCCTATTTGTACCTCTAAATGTATGACTAGCAGTAGATCGGTGTGAGATTGTGATAGTAGGGCAACAATGAGCAAAAACACCAGTTGTGTGTGGAAATTGGTAATTGGCCCATGCCTAAGTACAACTTGGTGTCTTTATTTTCAAACAATCAAAGTTAAGGTGTTGTTGGACCAACCCTTTCCGGTGCGGAACGTGAGCATTGCCGGCTGACCCTCGCCGGCTGAGCTTCGAGCCACCATCAGCACCTCATACAGACTGGAGGGCTCCAGCTCTGACAGGTGCAGGCTTTTCTCGCTGCCGGGCACTCGGACCGTCTGCCACTTTCCCACCACTGCTCCCATCTCGTCGACCTGTTGGAAACACACAGAAGCAAATGGTCAAGTTCCTAATCCTCCACAGCACAGGGTGTTCCCGTGGCCTCTGATCTGATTTATGTCATAGGTTTAAAGATGGAGCGTCCTTTCAGGTCCTTATAATTAAAATTAACTGGGAGCACAAATTTTCTCCTCACCTTCCGGTATTTGACGAAATAGGCGCTGATGGGGCTGCCGCCGTCCCGGCCCGCCCTCCACTCCAGGTCGTACGTGTCGGGTTTGTGGGTCTGTGGCGGACTGATGATGATCGGCGCCTCTGGGACGGGATGATCGCTGCTCCTGTCGGCTGACGGGTTGAACGCATCGCCGTCGTCATCGGTCATGAAGCTCTCGTCGCTTTGAATGGGGTGGAGCGACGGTAGAGCCTCCGGCAGGGCGCCGACAGTTGAGCTCAAAAAGGAATCTGTTTGGGAAAACAATCAGCCATACATAGCTATGAGGCAGCTACTTTATGGTGGAATCCTGGGGAAGGACTTTAATGAAGCGTTCAGAAGGTAATCATTGGCATCAACAACCGATTGTCTTCAAGAGTCAACCTGACTCAAGATGGCTGCCACAGATAATCAACCTCAGCGAGCACAAAAATTACTTTTACTCCATTACCCTTTGAGATACTGAGCTAACATTTGATCTGTTAGTAGCTGAGCGTTATCCCCAAAACAAACTGTGATGAAAACATTGCCATAAATTATTAGTGTACTGTCTGTTAGCAAAATATCTCATGAGCCAGTGGACAGATTTTAATGAAACTTTTTTTTAAACAATCGGGTTGACGTCTACAACAGATTAACTCTGCGAGTTAACCTGATTCACAGCTAAGCACCCTTAGCAAACATAACAGGAGGTATGGCTATGTCCGCCACTGATGAAGGATCTGAATAGTGAATGTTTGTAGTTTTTGAGATGAGTGTTTGTTGGACTGCAGTTGAACAGGAAATGCAATTAAACCTTGGTGTTTTTGGTGCAAGGTATTCAAGTGGGTAGAAGTAACACTGTGTTGTCCGAGGTGGCACAGGTACCACCAGGCGCAATGGCAGACCCAGGGGGTGGCCAATGGTGGCCTTGGCCACCACAAATTAATCTACGGCCACCCCAATCATTTGAGGAAACTATACGTTGAAGCAATATAAAAACTATAAAACATAGTTTCTTCAAATGAAAGGGATGACCAGTTTATTTATATATATATATATATATATATATATATAGCAGCTGCCTCTTTAGTTGTTGCTATGGTAACCTAATTCTTGTA